GTATATATATTAAGAAACATTTTTGTCATATGTACTTTTGTAAAAAAATTTATTTCACCTGTTTTAATCAGATTCACCCCTATAGTCCCATCCCTGAAGTTACTGTATAAATACTTGCTTAAAACTTAGGGAGCATTTTGAAAATGCTCCTCCAGCATTTTAGTCTGGGTGTGTTCTCTCTGTTGCTGACTGACTGCATCATGTCTCAGTGACAGCAGATCGTCTCTGACGTGTGTCACTTACTGACAGGTGAAATGACAGAGACAAAGCTGTCACTCATCTGAAATATGCTTAACCACAGTATTAAATAGTGCTCATTATGCAAGTTCTTTCTTTCTCATTTGAACAGCACAACATTGTATACATTTAATAGAATGTCTCATTACTGTCTCTGTGTGTGTAGAACACTCCAGTGGGAACGTCCGTGTTCATGGTGAACGCGACAGACCCGGATCAGGGCGTGGGCGGCAGTGTGCTCTTCTCCTTCCAGCCTCCCTCTCCGTTCTTCTCCATTGATGGGGCCAGGGGAATCGTTACTGTGACGAGAGCGCTGGACTATGAGACGACAACCGCCTATCAGCTCACTGTTAATGCCACGGTTAGAAAACACACACTGTAGAGCTCTGCATTGTGAAATTATTGAGTGGAACTTTGTCAATTCCAAAGCCAAATAAAACATGTGTACTTGTTGATCTCTGTGATAGGACCAGGATAAGAGGCGTCCGCTCTCGAGTCTGACTAATTTGGCGATTACCATCACTGATGTTCAAGACATGGACCCCATCTTCACCAACCTTCCGTACAGCACTAATATAATGGAGGACGCACCACCAGTCAGTAAACACACACATATATTTAGTCTTGCTTTGTACTTAGTTCAGCAGTATTTAGATGGGTGAATGTCACAAAATGACATGACATTACAATTAATATTTTTATTTGACATTTTCTGATTCATTTTATTTTATTATTTTACAAATTCATTTTTAAATATATTTTAAATTATTTATTTACAGTGTTTTATTTATTTATTTATTGCATTGTGGCATTATTTTAATTTAAATATATACACTGACTTTTTTTTTTCATTATAGCATTATTTTCATGACAATTAAGGAAAGGTCCCTCTCAAATTCTCTAATAACTTTAATGTGTTTGTAATTTCCATTATTCTCAATTGCAAACATGGACATGTCCTGGACATTTTTTCGTGAGATTCATCCAAATGCATTGGCACAAAACCTAGTGAGCTGGCTACATAGACAGCATATTTGGGCCTCATAAGAATTTTAAATAGGATGTCATTTTACAAGGTTTTGAGTCCAGATAATATTTATATGAAAACCATAAAACAGGAATAAATGTGGAAGTAAAAATGTAAAAGTAAAGTAAGGATTTGTACAAACAGAAAAAATTCCAGGGAATGAGAGACAGACAGACAGACAGAAAGAGAGAGAGAGAGAGAGTTTGGCTGACAAAGAGTGATATAATGTGTGTGTTGAGTAATTAGACAATAATTATGAGAGAAGTAGTCATTACACCTGTGAACTCTCGCTGGAATATTCCTGTAATTACAGTGATAGATTTATAATGTGACCTGCTCAGTGTGAGAGTCCACAAAAGGTCATTAAATGCGAGATTCACTGCTGGCCGTTTGGTCCTGTGTCAGTTTACTGTGTGAAACACACCGCCGCAGGCTCTGAGGATATGTGTTTCTGTCTGTGTAAAATTGAAAGTGGAAGTAGCTACGTTAAAGCCGCCTTTAAAATAGACCATAGACCAGAAATCATATATTTACAATGGAGATTTACACTTGCTGAACTGCTGTATCGATTTTATACTGTAAATAAATAAACGGGAAGTTAATATTCTAAGTTATATTTTAGACACAAAATTGCTAGTTACAGTAATTTTTTCTCAACTAAAGAAAATTGTTCCAAAATAAACCAAAGCAGATTCAGCTACAATTAATCAAAATGTAATCTAAAATATATTTAAAACTATAAAATTTAAACAAACTAAAAACAGAAATCTCTCCTAAGAATGAAATGATGTGCAAAACCAAAGTTTAAGCCTGTAAACTTGCAGAAATGTGTGTAATACAATATAATATAATATAAAATTATTTGAGGAAAATCAATACATTGCTGTCTTATTAGCAAAAAGAACTATATTTTGATATATCTATAGAAAAAATTGCTTTATTAAAGCAATAAGTCCCAAGAAGCTGTGGTTTACAGTGAATTTATAACAGCTAAGGGGCGTTGTTACGCACGACGCGAAGCAGAGTTAGCTGTTATAAATTCACTGTAAACCACGGCTTCACGGGTTTATTGCTTTTATAAAACGGTTATTCCATATACGTAGTAAAGTTTCACAAAATAAAACAGAGCAAATAAAGTGTAATGATATTAATAAAAACAGTATTCTCCCACCAAACAATGTAGCTCCTCAGAATTAGAAGTGGTTGCCGAGCAAACAAAGGTGCATGTTCGTAGAGTAAAACAGCTTCAAACGTGGCTCAGCCAATCAGAATCAAGGAACGGAACTATCCGTTTTATAATTTGATATACACATTTAATGTACATATTTAATGCACACACTAATGGTCAAAAGTTTTGAATAATTCGTTTTTTTTTTATTATCTTTGAAGTCTCTTGTGCTCTCCAAAGCTGCATTTATTTGATAAAAAATACAGTAAAACAGTATTATTGTGAAATTTAAAATAACTGTTTTCTATTTTAATATATTTTTACTATATTACAAAATGTACATATTTCACCGTTTGTATCACTCCACTTCTCAACCAACTCTTCAGTCTCTCAGTCTCTGTCTTTTTGACCTATTTCTCTTTCTTTCATGCCTCATATTTTCTCTCTCCCTCCTTTTATCTCTCTCTCTGGTGTCCATTTTTATGCATATTAACTCGTGAGCGTGTCAGAAGTGAAGTGTGGTGACACGGATCTATCAGTCGTCTCGGGAAGGTCATGAATAAGAAGACAGTGATGACTTTAGACCAGTTGTCCTGTCTAAATGTGGCGGTCAGCATCAAGCTCCAAGTGGACGCGATTGATTTTGGCATATCATTTCTTATTTCCTAAAGTTGTGGAAACACTATTAAAAAAGACAAGAGGCTTTTGTGATGAGAATTAGACAGTCTAAACATGTACGCCCTCAATAAGGGCACACGTCACACTTGCATGTTCGTATAAAACGATGTTGACACATACACTTAGCCACACACAGAGAGCTTAAAGCTTATCTTCCCTCACACTCACATTCACACGCTTGTACGGAGTGTGTGGAGAGTTCTCAAGGCTACTGACACACACAAACAGATATCAAACACACAGAGCTGTCGTGGGTCATCTGTCAAAACACAACTCTTAACCCCCGCTCCATCTCAGGTGCGTCGCTCTCGCTCAGACACCTGGAGAGAGAGAGATCCCTTAGCTTTCCCTCTCATCTCAATTGCTTTTGTACATTAGAGAAACACTTTTAAAGCAATAGTCCGCCCAAAATTCTTAATTCTGTCATTATTTGTTCAGCCTTACTTTGTCCTAATTTAGTATGATCTATTATATTTATTTTTTCTCCACCTAGATATATTTTTTGCTTAGCTGTTTACATGCAAGGACGGTTTATAGTGACCATGTCTTTGAAGGTCGCATTTAGCATATGTTCACATCCAAAAATGTTTTCACATGTTTTCCATATTTTTCATGTGAAATGATGATTTTCATAATAACTATGATGATTTTTGAATTTACTATAATAATAACTATGATGATTTAGATTTCGTGGAGCTCGACAGGCACCACCATGTGGTTGTTGTATTGAAAGATTAGTTTGAAGGTTCTTCAAAATGTATAATTTATTTGTTTGAGTAAATAATGGCATAATTAAAATTTCTGGGGGAATTATTCATTTAAGATTCACCTTAATGCTTGAAATATGGTGAAATATCCACTATATATATGGATGCCTGTTCATGCCTTATAATTAAATAAAAAAAAACAAAAACAAAACAATGTAATTGCGGGAGAATTGCAACTTTATTTCTCATAATTGTGTGAATCTTACAATTGAGTCTTTGTTTCTCGTAATTGTGACATTATTTCTTATTTTAAACTGTACACTATCATGCAAAAGTTTGTTGAATTTGATTTTTTTTAACAAAGTCGGTATGCTCAACAAGCCTTCATTTATTTGATCAAAAATACAGTAAAAGCAGTGATGAAGGTAAAACGAAGAGTTCATTTGCAAAAAGCGATAAACGGCACTTAAAAAGAGAGAGCTGATTGCCGTGCATTATTCTCCACATATAGAATCTGAAACCTAAACATGTTTTGTCAAAAAAGCCGGTTTTGTCCACTTTCAAGGCATCGTGAGTTCACGTTTTACTGCAGAAGCCGACAAGCGCCCTTATTGTTTTTTGAACAGAAGCCGATAAATCCATTTTAGCGAATCAGCGTGCTGTATTCAGGTCAGGTGACAAGGCTACTTTCACTTTGAAAAGACGTGCTAGCTGAGAGAGAGGAGTTTCGTCAAAGCTGACTAAAAGTGATCGAGGATGGATAATTTCGACGAACTTGATGAACCTGTGATATCTTCTTCAGGGCGAAAAAGGAAAATAAAAGCTGAAACGTCGGTTTTTGCAAATGAACTCTTCAAATATTATTACAATTTAAAATAACTGTTTTCTATTTAAATGTATTTTAATATGTAATTTATTCCTGTTATGCAAAGCTGAATTTTCAGCATCATTATTCCCATCTTCAGTGTCACATGATCCTTCAGAAATCATTCTGATAATCTGATTTGCTGCTCAAGAAACATTTCTTATTAATATCAATGTTGAAATGTGTGAGAGAAGCTGACACTTCTGATCATTTTAATGAGTCCTTTTTTTTTTAAATATTTTTTTTTCTGAATACACAGCTACTTTTTACTTTTTAGGGAGGTCACCTGTAGGAGAAAAAAAAACAATCCGTGGCGACGGTTTTGCAATCCATCCCCTCAGTTTTTTAACCGCACTCACAAATTTTTAAACTGTTCCCTCGGTTTAACAAATTGTGCCCACAGATTAATAAACCGTACTTACGAATTTCCAATCCGTGCGCTCAGATTTTGTAAACCGTACCTTCGGTTTTTGAAATCCGTACCCCCAAATTCATAATCCGTGCCCATGCTTTCGCAATCCGTTCCCTCTGGTTTGTAAACTGTACTCACGGATTCATGCAGCAAGCTCCTAGGTAGCCTACGTGTTAACGAATCATATTGTATATTGTTTTATTGCATATTATTATGTGGAATAGGCCTACAGCAAACCCATCAAACCTGACCCTCTGGCACAAACACAGCTCTGCGGTTCATGCTCATACTGTAGTAAGCTGAATCCACCTGCCAAATGGACCAAAGTTTGACAACAGCTAAAACGCAGAGAAAAATTACGTTTTTTGCACCGCTATTTGCCGTTTTCTTTTGTCAGGGTAGCATTTAAAGGCTTTTTAGGGGCAAACACAATTTGGCTGTCAAGCGCTTGATCTGAAATGGTGCAAGAGAAGAGACTCGGATGGAGGGAGGATGGAGAAGTGGACAAGAAGGTGCAGGGAGAATGTTTAAGGATGAGAGGACAGGAAAGAGAAGAAGAAAGACGTGTGCATGATTGAACATTCCACTTTTGCGGACGGCAAGAGAATGGCTTGCGAATTACTTCAGCCACACTTCATCCTCTGTTCAGCCGCTTTTGTCATCCATTTCTCCCTCGCTCCTGCTCATATTCCTGCTCTAAACGTGCTTGTAATTGATTGTGTGCTGTAATAACGGTGGAGTGTTGGCAGAAATGAAGCATAAACAGCTCTCAGACACTATTAGCTGGATCAATGACCAGAAGCTCTCTCACTTTTCTCTTTAAGCATCTGTACTGTTTCTCATTCAGGATCAAAGAGTCCTCAAATTCAGAATATTTCTCCATTTGTTGTATTTCATGTCTCATTTGATGCATTTGTTTTTGAAGCTGATGTCCCTGTAACATCCCTCACCAGGTCCTTTCCTGAACAGTTGCACACAAAAGCATTTGAACACTTAAAATGTCTGTTTGTCATCGCATTAGACAAAATAAAAAGTGGCATTTATTTTAAAATTATAGCACAAGCACACTTTTCATGCAAAGCATTTTAAAAACTAACTATAAAGCAATAGATATACTGTTCAAACTAAAGACAAATTATTTATTGATTATTTATGTATGCAAAATTTTCATGTTTTTTTTTATTTTTCTCATTAAATGCTTGTCGTCTATGTGTCTGTAGGGTTATGAAGTCCGTAAGATCACAGCGATCGATCAAGACTTAGGTCGACCACGTGGAATTGGATATACGTTCATATCAGGTCAGTCACATCCATCATAATTATCACGCATTTAATTGTATAAACTTAAGAACATTTAATTTATTCACTTTGACAGTGACATGTGACCAAGTATGGTGACCCATACTCGGAATTAGTGCTCTGCATTATCCCATCCAAAGTGCACACACACACACAGCAGTGAACACACACCCGGAGCAGTGGGCAACCATTTATGCTGCGGTGCCCAGGGAGCATTTGGGGGTTCGGTGCCTTGCTCAAGGGCAGCTCAGTCGTGGTATTGAAGCGCTGTACATTCACTCCCCCCACCTACAATCCCTGCCGGTATGAGACTCGAACCCACAACCTTTGGGTTACGAGTCCGACTCTCTGACTTTCTAAACAAATAGAAACAAATTCACAGGGTAGAATGACATGATATTAAATAATAGTAATAATAACAATAATATATACAGTATAATAATATATTCTTTTTATATTTTAAAGTATTTTAAAATTTTTCTTTTTTTTACATTGTTGTATTTAATTGTTAAGTGTTTTAGGCTGTTAACAAATATTTCAAAGGATAGAATGATGTAATTTTAGATAATAATAATATAGGTTTTATACTTCAAAATTTTTGTTAAATTTAATTTAATAAAAATGTTTTTATATCCTCCTGATTCAAAATCTGGAAATATACTGTCATCTCCTCTGTGTTGTTGCATAACATTTCCTTCAATGATAACCTGGAATGACCATAAACATTTAGATTTGCATGAATCTGAATATAAAGTGAACTCAGAGCGCATTTGTCATACATGTTTAAAGCGAATTGCACAGAGAATGTAAAGCCGACCACTCTCAGTGCAGCGAAAAGAGACATATGAAAATGTGCATTTCATGGCATTTCTAATACTCACTTCCAAATCACTTATTTGTTGGGCTGAACAATTTTGGAAAATAATCTAATTGCGTTTTTTTTTACCAATATTGCGATTGCGATTTAATATGCAATTATTTTTTTAAAGCTCTTTATGTTCTGTATTATTCAACAAAGACAAGCTATAAATCATTGTATAGTATGCCCAACACACTATTAGATAGATTAAACATAAATGTTCTATTCTGTAGGCCAGGCCTATATGTTACGATGAAATTAGGTGATGCATAAATTGATACGAATGACATTTTTATTTAACAACTACAATCACTGTACATTGACTGATTTGTTGAACTTCCAACCTTGTAAGCATGTAATAATTATGTTTACATAAGCCTGGTGTAAACATTAATATGAAAGTCAGTAACAAATCACACAAACTAAAGTAGATTGCAGAAATATAAAAACAAATCTGTTGCTTTACCACACTACTTTAGGTAATTCACAGTCACTGTAATAAACATATGTAAACATGTGCACTGTACTTGTGGTCTCTTTAGACCAGTGGTCCTCAAACATTTTTGGTCAAGCCCCCCTTTAAACCTATAAAAAAAATCTGCCCCCCTTTCCCGAATCCCCATTCCACCTCAGACTACCAAATAATTTCACTAAACATTATGAAAAATTTATACTTTTTTAATTAAAAAAAACTACAGCGAAAAAAACACCTGCATCACTTGAAACATTGAAAAATAGCATAGAGAGAATAACTTATTATTATTCTCTCCCTGTTATTTATTTATTTTTTGTAGGTTTCATGCTGTTTTACACGAGCGGCAAAATACAGTAGAAACGGGTCTGTGCGACTTCATCTATGTCTTTTCTCTTCCCTTTCACAAACCGATCTCCCATTCTAAGTTACGTCCTTTGGCTGTTTACCGTTTTATTTCTTTTCTTTTTCTGCTGATGGCCCACGCTCGACTTGAAGCAGCGCTGCTTAGACCGATGGGTGTGTGTGTCATCAAAGCACTGCGAGAGCTATAAGAGAGCGCGGACATCTCCTTATGCTTTCTCTCACCTTACTTTGATGTCGTACACCGATCGATCTTCAAGTCGAACACACCTCTTTACTCTCGCGTGTCACGTGACCGTGTAATCGCAGCCTCTTCGATTGAAAAATCGTGTTATTTCATATCGCGATATTATCGCAAATGCAATTAATCGTTCAGCCCTACTTATTTGGATGACAGTATGTAAATGGAATTTAAAATATGCAGTGATCATTGTTATCTCAAAACATTCCAATTAGAGCAAATACTCATAATCAGACAATTATATAATGACTAATGTCATTATACGTAATTTGATATATAGTAATTTGAGTGTTGAGTGTAGTATGTTTTTTCATGCACCAGTCTGAAGGACAGTGGCCTATATGCGTCACATTAGTGCTGCTGTGGTGTAAGTCTCTTAGGATGTGGGATAATGTGTGTGTGTGACTGAAAGCCTTTGTCGATTTAGTCCATACATGAGCTTAACACAGCAAGACAAACCTCCCCACAGTGCAACAAACACACACACGCTCACTGTAGCGGTGTACTTGTGTGTGTACGGCCTCCCCCGTAGATCACTTTCATTGCTATCAGCATGAGACAGACGGAGCAAAGGGAGGAACAGAATGGACAGCGAGAGAGAGAGAGAGAGAGAGAGAGAGAG